AGACGATGGACAGTTGAAGTAGACCCATATAAAGTGAAAGGACAACTTCCAGTATTTAATAAATCGGAATACTGGTATTTAGTGTACTGTGGATATTGGAATGGAGAAATCCAGCAAATGAATCCCAACATCATTATTTGTAAAGTTGTCTCTGCTCATTGGAGGAAATTTAGGTGTTGGGTCTCGACATTTTGAAAATATAATTGTTCCTCTCAGCTTTAGGTATCTCTGAAGCCAGGCTCGTAGGAAGCAATTTCAGTTGGTAGGTAGGGGGGTGCAGACCCATACATTTTCAGTTGAGGAGGCACTATCAACCACCAAAATTCCTTGACAATTAATTAATCAAGCATTTTTTTTTTTTTGAGGGGGCACAATCATATATCTAGCGATATATTTTCTATCTAAATAGCGACAAAATTATGGGGAGGGGGTGTGGTAGCTCAATGAGTACAATTTTTGAATCAAAAATTAATTCTTCGGCTGTTTGCAGTTCATCATGCACATATAAATTTTTACGTCCTCTTATATCAACTAGTCATTTGTTTTCCGTATGATTTTATTGCTGTTGTTTTTACATTAATTGTCGGATGCAAACAACTCAAAAAATTCCTAGCTTTTCTACTTTTTTGGGGGGTGGGTGGGGTTTGAAATATTTTAAGGCATAGTAAAACGTTACGTAATAGGGTATTTTTAAATTTACACGGTCCCGAACCAGAATAATCAGCTTTATGTCACGTGATTCGGTAATGGAGAAAATGATCCGGTAAAGGAGAAAACATCATTAGTACAAGTACAGCGATAATTTTTTATTTAATCAGTGGTTATTGGGGAAATATATATGATGTTATAAGTAAAACATAGTACCACCAAACAATGTTGTAAAATGAATTTAACTCAAACTCAGGTACGAAATATCCAAGCAAATTTACTAAGTGATTCGATAACGGCAACCTCACTGTATGACTGCATTAAATGAAATAAAAGTGCATCAATAATAAGATTGCTTGACATTTCATTCATCAACCTATCCTCCTAGAATTAGGAATGAAAATCATTCAAAGAGATGGACCACATTAAAGTATTTGTATATAGGCTATTAACATATTTTTTTAAAAATGTAAAACAAGCAGTAGTTTGCATATACATGTCATGAATATAAACAGGGGTCTGGGATGGGGTGAAGGGAAGGATCGAGTTCCTGTCTCTTTACGTCTTAATGGTTGAAAACTCCTAAAATGAATGTTGACCTCAAATCCGACTTGTCCTCATTATTTTTCAAGTGGGGGTGTCTCCATTTGAGTGAAAAATTCCTGAGAGGGATGTTTAACAACAAACAAACAATTAAATGACATAAAAACACAATATTGATTTGCGTTAAGAAATATGGGGAAAGGGAGGGAACATTATACACTTATTTAATGACTACGAGGTAAACAGTCAAACTGTTGTCCCGAGGTAGTGGGGGAGACCTGGGAAACTGTTGCCCAAGGCCGAAGGCCAAGGGCAACAGTTTCCCAGGTCTCCCCCACGTACTACTGAGGGACAACAGTTTGACTGTTTCACCGAGTAGTCATTGAATAAGTGTTTTATTACCTAACCTACTATATAATTAATTAAATTGGAATAAAAACACACAAACAATCAATAAAAAGTTTTCACAATTGTTTATTCACATACTTGTCTATTAATTAGCTGAATACATAATATAAACACTAAATTAATATTTTTATTTTAAAGTAATACTTAATAAATTTATTGTTTGTGTGTTTTGTTTAAATTTAATTCATTATAGAGCAGGTAAATAGTGATGTCGTGATCATCAAAACGCTTGAATATCACAAAGACGCTTTAACCAGTCAACAGTTCATTCTGTGGACCGGTCAACAGTTCACTGTTTCATGATCACGCAAAAACATAAAGTAAACCGTGAAACAGTTCAAAATGCCTAATTATAATTTAGATAGTAAGTAAGGTAATAATAAATCTTATTTGTCTGTCAGTCTGGCCATCTTTGACAGTATGTGCATCTGTCACAATAAATTTAACCTTGATCATAACTTTTGAATAATATGAGATAGGGCTTTTATATTTCACATGTACATTACCACAAAACTTTCTAAATGTACTATGATTTTTTAACCCAAGTGAGACCTTGACCTCAAAATTTTACCTACTTTCCAAAAAATAACATTTTAAATTAATCATTTTGAAAGAGAAAAGATATGGCATTTAAATTATACATGTATTTTACATGTGAAAAGACTTTTCTAAATATATCATGACTTTTGACTTTCTGATCTTGACGTAGAAGTTTAACCTACTTTTCAAAAATATTATATTATATATTTATATATATATATAACTTTTGATTGAAAAGAGATGAGTCTTTCATATTTGACATGTACTTTACCTGCAACAAAATATTTCGAGCATGCGATGATTTCCCCCCTTTGACCTAATTTTCATATGGAACTTATGGAGTAACATCCTCAGATAGTGTAGATTCAACTTTGTTCAAATCATGACCCCCGGGGGTAGGGCAGGGCCAGAATGGTTGATCAAAGTTTTACATAGAAATATATAGGAAAATTCTTTAAAAATCTTCTTCTCAAGAATGACAAAGCCATAATTCATCAAATTTATATGGAAGCATCCTCAGGTAGTGAAGATTCAAGTTTGTTCAAATCATGACCCTGGGGGTAGGGCGGGGCCAAAAAGGCCGACCAAAGTTTTACATAGAAATTTATGGGAAAATTCTTTAAAAATCTTCTTCTCAAGAATGACAAATCCATAATTCATCCTATTTATATGGAAGCATCTTCAGGTAGTGTAGATTCAAAAATTTGTACAAATCATGACCCCAGGGGGTAGGGCGGGGCCAAAATGGCCGACCAAAGTTTTACATAGAAATATATGGAAAATTCTTTGAAGAAAAGCAAATCCATGATTGATCATGGGATTACTTTTGGATTTTAACTTTTCAATTATAAACCAATTTCTACTTTTTCTTAGCTTCAGTACTCAGGTGAGCGATGTGGCCCATGGGCCTCTTGTTTAATGTACCATTAGTAATACACATCTGGCGGGACATTCATGTCCTATAGACATATTTCTAGTTTTTCGAATCATCACCTCAGGCTAGGGTCAGGCCACAATTAGGGATCAAAGTTTTATTTAGGAATAAAAGGAAACACATCTTTAAAGTTCTTCTTTTCAGGAACACCAAGAGCATGATTAATATGGAAATATTCTCAAGAGGTGTAGATTCAAGTTTGTACAAATCATGACCACCAGGGTTAGGGAGGTGCCATATTATTCCAGCCCCTTTTTGCCATCCATATGAAAATTCAAATTTTGAAACCATTTTACACATACACAAAACAAACCAATCATTTTCTAAATGATCATGGTTTAAAGCTATTGCAGCATAAGATATTAGGGAAGTTCTTGAAAGCAGGGTGATTAAACATGTCAAATATATGTAAAAAAAAATATATATAAAAATTCTACCTCGATTTGATCCCCATCCCCCCCACCCCCGGGCAAAATGAAAATTCCGAAACCTTACTGCACATCTACATGACACCACCAACCATCTCTTAAAATATGATAAGGCTGCTGAGTAAAATGTAGAAGGAGTTCAGGGAAGAAGGGGCTTTTTGTATAAAAAAAACGTCATTTTTCGATCCCCATTTGATCCCCCGGGGCAAAATCAAAATTCCGAAACCTTACTGCACATCTACATGACACCACCAACCATCTCTCAAAAGATGATTAGGCTGCTGAGTAAAATATAGAAGGAGTTCAGAGAAGAAGGGGCTTTTTTGTATAAAAAACGTCATTTTTCGACCCCCATTTGATCCCCTGGGGCAAAATCAAAATTCCGAAACCTTACTGCACATCTACATGACACCACCAACCATCTCTCAAAAGATGATTAGGCTGCTGAGTAAAATGTAGAAGGAGTTCAGGGAAGAAGGGGCTTTTTGTATAAAAAACATCCTTTTTCGACCCCCATTTGATCCCCTGGGGCAAAATCAAAATTCCGAAACCTTACTGCACATCTACATGACACCACCAACCATCTCTCAAAAGATGATTAGGCTGCTGAGTAAAATGTAGAAGGAGTTCAGGGAAGAAGGGGCTTTTTGTATAAAAAACGTCATTTTTCGACCCCCGTTTGATCCCCCGGGGCAAAATCAAAATTCCGAAACCTTACTGCACATCTACATGACACCACCAACCATCTCTCGAAAGATGATTAGGCTGCTGAGTAAAATGTAGAAGGAGTTCAGGGAAGAAGGGGCTTTTTGTATAAAAAACGTCATTTTTCGACCCCCATTTGATCCCCTGGGGCAAAATCAAAATTCCGAAACCTTACTGCACATCTACATGACACCACCAACCATCTCTCAAAAGATGATTAGGCTGCTGAGTAAAATGTAGAAGGAGTTCAGGGAAGAAGGGGCTTTTTGTATAAAAAACGTCATTTTTCGACCCCCATTTGATCCCCCGGGGCAAAATCAAAATTCCGAAACCTTACTGCACATCTACATGACACCCCCAACCATCTCCCAAAGGATGATTAAGCTACTGTGAAAAATGTAGGAGGAGTTCAGGGAAGAAGGGGCTTTTTGTATAAAAAAACGTCATTTTTCGACCCCCATTTGATCCCCCGGGGCAAAATCAAAATTCCGAAACCTTACTGCACATCTACATGACACCCCCAACCATCTCCCAAAGGATGATTAAGCTACTGTGAAAAATGTAGGAGGAGTTCAGGGAAGAAAAGTGTGACAGACGGACGGACGGACGGACGGACATGAGTAACAACAATATACCCGAACTTTCTTTCGAAAGTGCGGGTATAAAAAGCTTAAAATGGACCCCAAAGTGTGTAGAAACAATAAACTTTTTGCCCTTCAGTATGTTAAATAACTATAAATATCTAATTTACTACTGGCTAGTTGACAAAAAGGAAGTTTACACAATGATTAACAAATTGACTTTACATACTAACAAGGTTAAGTCAAATGCATAATTCAGTAACGCAACACATTTGAAGAAGTGTTTAAAACATGTCGTTACTGATATTCCTGTTGTGGTCAGTTTGTCTGGCCCACGTGGAGAGTTTGACAATCTCTGACTTTTATCCTTTTGGTGAGGACAGGGGTGATACTACAATGGTTAAGAATGATGACGGAGGTTCTCCCAATATTCCAATTTCCACTAAATTCCCTTACTTCAATCATCAACACGACAAATTAATTGTAAGTATTGCATAGAAGATAAACATATTTTTAAATACTGTGTTTGGAATATTTTTAGATTTGGCATTCTTTCTAGGTAAGTACAAATGGTGCTATTTCATTCCTGACCCCTGTGTCACAATATACCCCGGATCCCTTTCCGCTGGATGGGGACCGAAGACTTATCACTCCCTTCTGGGCAGATGTGGATACTAGGAAAGGAGGAAATGTGCGGTACAGAGAAACTACAAACCTAGAAATATTAGAGAGAGCTTCCAATGAAATAAAGTCTAATCTCCCAGCGTTTTACCGTTTTCGCGCTGCTTGGGTTTTCATAGCTACATGGGATAATGTGGCCTTTTTTGGATGTTCCTCTACTGGTTGTTTGAAGGTACGCGCGTTTTTCTTACACTGAAGATTGCGTATTTGTGCGTGATACTTGTGCGTTAACATTACTATGTATTAATTTTGTAGTAATATTATCCTCACTGTCCAACCTTTTCAGAGAAATACCTTTCAAGCTGTACTGATGGACAAATGGACAACATTCTTTTACCATATTTAATTACGCAAACATTGAATGGACAACTGGAACAGCAAGCAGTGGGAATGCAGATACTGGGCTTGGGGGGAAACCTGCACAGGTCAGTAATTTTCCCCCTGAGATGTATTTAATTCACTCTGTAAACCTTCAATTAATAATTTTTAAAAATCTCTTTTGGACGTTTTTCAGGGCACGCTTTAATACTTTTTCAGTTTTCACACAGTCAAGTGTATTTCAAGTGCTTTTATTTTAGTTAAGGTAGGATTCTTCTCTATAGTTTCTGTCTAGATGAAATATTCATTATATATTTGCTTATATGTCTTTTATATTTAGGTGTAAGAGATTTAAAAGACCATATTTTTCTTTCCTCGTCACAATTGTACAACTTTAAAAAGAAATGGTAAACTGTGTTTGAAAACTATCAGGGAATATATTTTTGGCGGAATGGTGGCGTATGAAAATATTTTCTTTCCTCTCAAATATATTATAGAAAATTGAATTTAGTTGTAATATTTACGCAATCTTAAACTAGAAGAAATTTTCAAAATTAAGTTAAATTAATAATAAGGGACTAAAGTTTCAAAATATATCAAATAAATAAGATTTTTTACACATACTAGAACTATGTTGGCTTTTAAATGCTTCAAATCCAAGTACAGATTTGAGCCAAAAATCCGTAAAAAGTGTTATTTTTCTCTTAGTAAACGATCAAAACTTTTAGTTTTTTAGTTTTTGTATCATTTTGTACCTTTATGTGTCAACTTTACTATATGTGAAATGAGAAAAAGTTAAATATAGGTAGCATATAAAAAAAACTAATTTATCCCAAAAAATTAAGAAAAGTAAAGGAAATTCGGATTAGAAATTATCCATTTTATTTAAATTATTCATGTCAATTTGGTAATATCATCTTATAGGCCCTATATGGTAGTATCTTTTTATGCAAAAAGAAAAACATTCAATCTTTTGAATTACAAGTAGGGATCGCATGATTGGAAACAGTATTTTTTTATTCATAATGTCTAGGAAAAAGGTAATGACCTTGACCTGACCTTGCCTCTAATATTAAACGGTTAAATTGAATCTTACTGATACCATCACTTAGTGATATTGACCTCTTGATTCTGTGAAAATTTCATTAATTTTTAAATACGAGAAATGTGAGAAGAATCCTACCTTATACTATATCTGCTTGAATCTTTAAGTTTCAAAGCTATCAATTTTATTTTTTCTTTTATCAATATAATTAGTGCTTTTTAATCCGATTATATGTGTTTAATGTAGTGCTTAATCTAATTTGTTTTTATGGTGATGTTTATTTTTTTCTCTTTATTTTTATTTTTGTTCTTCTTAATGCAATCATTTCGCTTTTCTATTTTCTTTTTTTTTTCTAATTCTTAAATTTGTTTTATCTGCCTTGCGTGTTTATATCTTACATGTGTTTTTTTGCATGTAAATTATGTTGTAAATGTTTTCTCTGTGATATTTTTAGCTGTGATAGTCTGTATAGAGCTCATGTTTATTGTCATATTATGTAAAAAATGCCGACTTTAAATAAAATTTACTTGACTTAAAAATAAAAGACAATTATTTTATTACAAACAATTGCAAAAACTACAAACTTAGTTGACTGCACTTTTTCGGTGAGTGCAGAACTTAAAGAAGGGAGAGGGCACAAAGTTAACTTAATTAGCTACAAAAATATTTGTAATCATTCAATACTCGTTAAAAATCTCATAAAATTGAGAACATGTATCAGTTGAAAAATTGGGAAAAACTCTTTATTTGTATACTTAATTATAGGTTGGTTTTAATGCTGGTGACGGGAAAGTATATTATGTAGTGAACGGCTCACGTACAAAAGACATTGTCAATATAAACAAAAAGTCCAATGTACGCATACCAGGAAAGTTTCTATTCAGAATAGATTCATCGGAAATAGGTGGAGGAGGGTGTAATACAAAAGGTATTAAGTTTCATATATTACAGAAAAACACTTGTATTTTCTAGTTTTTAAGTAACCATTTATGTCAAAATAATAATTATCAAAGTTGTAAACGTAATGAGAATTTTATCACCAGAGTCCACGAATGTTTTGATCACTGTCGTACCTGTTGTTTGTATGGTTAATATTCTAATACAATGCAGTGCATTGTAGCAACCGCTAATGATATAATGCCGCTTAATAAAAACGCATAAGGGCCATACTTATTGAACAGAAAAGGTTAAAACTTATTTTCTAATGAAAATTTACTACCCGCGACAAGTGATAGCCAGTTCCCATTATGACGTCATTGCTCTCTACGACATTTTTATATAGCCCCAAAGAACATAAAAAAAGCTTGTGCACGAGGGCATGCCCTATGTATTTTTACAGAAACAGGATCTAGTTAGAAGTAGAATATTCGAAGAATTTGTGATATTGCTGCGCAAATATTGACAAATTAATTGTTTATTTACTATTTGTAAAGTTTTGAGTTGAAACGGGATAATATTCACAGTCCAGTGTAGGTTTCCTCAAATGATAATCAAACGAGAAAATGCATATAGGATTTGCGCAGCACTTTTGTTGATCTTTTGAATATAATTCCTAGAATTATACATTATTTACTTAAAAATAAACAGGGTATGCCCTTGCGCCAAAGCCGTTTATTGATGTGTATTATTAATTTGGGTACTAAAGAACAATGACATCATAATGTGCACTAGCTATAACATGCCTTTGGAACTTGCACAGTTTGAAGTATGTATCAATTTAGGAATGATATGCAATACAGATAGACATATATGTAAAATTTAAAAGGTACCTGTCAAAGGTAGATAGAGTGTTAGCTTGTATATTTGCATAGGAATATACATTGCTACAAACTACAGGTAGGTGGAAAGAATCATTTAGATTCTGCCTAAGATGTATGGAGAAATCGAAGTACCTCTAAAAAATGGGTGGGAAACTCGCTTATTGTGAAGGAATCAAATTAGGTATGCATGTAATTAGGTATAGGAAGGGGTGGAAAAAACATTCGGGATTAGCATAAGATGATCGGTTCAAGCAAATTGGTACCTAGCAAAAGTAGGAAGGAAAAGAGGCTTTATTTTATAGAAATATTAGTTGGTACAACCTTCAAGTTGGTTTCCTTAAGATTTCAAGTGCAGTGGTAAAGAACAATGTATCTAACGTGTTCTCTAAAGCAAAATTTAAATTTTTACTCCTGTTTATCAAAATAAGTCTACATTTTAAATGAATTATACTTTTGTCTAAAAGAAAAACACAAATGGTAGACATTTTTAAAATGTTACCCTTATCTAACCCTTATAGAATGAGAATGTTGATATTTTTTAACTCCCTTTCCCGCGACGATTTAGGTTGTTACAGCGAACATTTCATGTGCCTTTTATATAGGCCTACTGAAAGGAAAAAGAAACGCAGGGTAACATAATATGCGAATGCATGACCAAAAATTACGAAAACTAGTCAGATGAGAATCTTGGTTACTAGGCACATCAGTGTTCAGAATTACTCAACCGTAAAATTTATGACGTCACGCAGGGAAAAAGCAAAAAACATGTGAGCACTACTTGATGAAGATAAGTATGTCAACAATCTTCTTGTACCGTTTGATGCACTTGAGGTATACACATTGTTTTTCAGTACTTATAGACGATATGCATGTAATCTTGTAACAGTTGACGGACGTTCCATGGGGTCTGGCTTTTACATTGCCTAAGTTATGGACAAAGGCAACAACGGGTTGCTAGTAAATTTTCTCCCCATAGAACGTCTCAACCGTCGTTAGAGAGGTTTTTGAATAGTTTCCAATCAACCATGACGATGACGTTACAGATCCACGTCAAGATCGGGTAATTCATCCTGTCACCTGTTTAAGCGCCACCTTACTACCACAAATGAGCTTTTTCTATTTTCACTTTTGGGATGTCTCGTCATGTGAGAGTCTATAACACGTGAATAATGAGGCAAAAATCAAATGAGATTTCGTTTACATTTTCATTAAAGATGATTTTAAACGTTAGATAGGAAAAGTAGAAAATACCTACGAAAAATAAATTTATTTCAGCTTAAAAGTTTACCCTGCGTTTCTTTTTCCTTTCAGTATATTGAAGTCCTAAGATACAATCCCGATCCCTGATATTTTTTTTCTCATATTTCTGCAAAATAAAATTAAAATTTATATAGCCTGTTTGTGATATTTTACTTATAGCCCGCTCGGCTACTAATAACCTTTTTTGGAGTTTGGTCCAAACCTGCCTAATTGTTTTTTTTTATTTATTCCTATTCAGGCAATGTCATCATAACGCCACGAAGTGGTCCAATGCTCGGTGGTCAACACCTGACATTCAGTGGACCATGTCTAGAAGAATACACTTCATTCAAAATCAAGTTCTCCAACACTAGATATACATTAATATGTGAAATGGACTCACCCTACAGCTTTTATTGCATTACACCTCGGTTTAACAGCACTGGTGATATCCAAGTAGATATCATATTGGCTAGTGAAAACAAAACCGATATGTTTATTGGAAACTACACTGTTTGTAAGTACATGCATCAAATACTCTTGGAATCTTTCTTCTGTGTGAAACCATGTAATCCCCGTAAAAATACTCAGCACTGATGAAGTTGAATATAATATTTATGTGCCCTTTTTGTTTATCCCTTTTGCAGACAGTGAATTGAATTTCTTCCACTGCGTTGCATTCTCAGATGTATGTGTAAATCGATATGACATTTTTTTATAAACTGAAAAAAATCTTACATTTTAAAATGTATACATATAATTAATTACTTGTATAAATAAGGACAATGTCATTATCTGTTTCAGTGAATCCTGCTTTCAGCAAAGTCCTTGTAAATCGCCATAACGGAAGCAGCTGGGAAAATGGTGAACATATTATTTCGTGGAATGGTAACGTGAAAGAACTTCAAAACAGTAGCACAGTAGATATCTACGTTTACTCCATCAAGGTACAAGTATCATGAGTATGAGGACATGTAGTGCAGTAGATCTCTTGTATTCACAATGAAGGTACAAGTATCATGAGTATGAGGATATGTAATGCAGTAGATCTCTTGTATTCACAATCAAGGTACAAGTATAATGCGTAGAAGAGCAATAGCGCAGGATATACCATCAAGGTAAAATTGTTGTAAAACAGTGGCTTAGTAGATTTCCACGTATAAGAAATCAAATACAAAAGTTAACTGCTGAAAAAAACCCAGCAGTAGATATATCTACGCAAACCAGAGGCACAAATAAAGTTTAATGCTATATATAGAATCTCACATGATTTGTAGTTGGATATGATTTTTATTCAACGAGTTGTGATTTTTATCCCCAAGCCTTGGCGAGGCGATAAAAATGCACGAGTTGGATAAAAATCATATCCAACTACATATCATGTGAGATTCTTTTTATCCCATGTTTTATACAGCACTATCACTGTTTTATATAGGACTCCACTTCATTTTACTTCATCACTCTAACGCAAAACCCATTGTGACGTCACAACTGTGTGATACGAAAACGATATCATATGCATATGAGCTATATCAACGGGATAAAGGGTTAAACATGGGATAAAAAAACTGTAGCTCAGTTGATCTCTACGTTCTAACAATAAATGTACATGTACATGTACAATGCTGGAATAAAGCAGTGGCTCAGTAAAACAGTAGTGAGTAGATCTTTAAAGATAAACAGTCATCTTACAAATATTACGCTGTTAAAAAGAATACTAGTAAAAACTGTAGCGCACTAGATCATCGCGTATACACAATTAAGGTTTAGTCGCCCGCAGTGGAAGAGCATCTGCTCTAGAGTCGCGGGTTCGAATCCCACTGTTGGACATGGAGACCGGTCCTTTGCATAAGACTGTATAAAGCGAGGTCCCGTGTCACAATAGATGCTGTAACAAAAACGATCCTTCACTGCTCAATGGCCCTGAGTGTCGAGTACAGGTCAATATTTGCAGCTCTCCACTGGCAAGTAGTGGCGTCTCCATATGAGTGAAAAATTCGCGAGAGGGACTTCAACAAACAAACAAACAATCAAGGCATAATGTAAAAACCTAAATCACATTGTTTTCACTCTCTGGGGAGGATAGGTGGAAATCCGCTGTTCTGTCTATCTCAAGGTATACTGTTTCATAAAACTGTAACAAATTACACCTCCTTATTAGTTCTGGCATTACATCGCAGTAAAGTCAATAGTTACGCTCGAGCACGTTTGCAGATTCATGTAATTGTATTCAGTGAAACACAAATGCATAAAATATATTTCAAGGAACGATGGGTTTTTTTTATTCGTGTATGGTGAAAATTTTTCAATAGCTCATACATTGATAAATGAAATGCACGAACATTGAAAGCTTTTATGTACGCAAGAAATTCGTTTAACTGACAGTAGTACATGTACAGTCAAACCTGTATTAAGAGACCTTCCAACGGAGAAAGGAAAAAAGGTCAAATATGACAGGTGGTCTCTTAATACAGGTTGCTTATTTTTCGCAGTGTTCAAAATATACAATGCTGAAAATATCACACGTGTATGCTGAATGTATTTTATAGCACCTTATGTTTATTTCCACTTTTTAATAGGTACTGCTCAACTCTAAAATGCTTTTACAATTGTCCTGTTAAGAAATAAAAATTTATTGATCCACACATGATTCATTTGAATATTTGGAAATATTGTGAACATCTGAAAACATTAATATTTTTTTCATGCAGTAGAAAAAGGCTGAAAAGTTTTTTCCCCCTAATAATAGTTTTTTTTTGGTTGCGTTAGACAGGTGGTCGTTTAATACAGGTAGAATGTATAGGGAAAAGCATTGGCGGGAACTTTTACGGTCACATGTGACAGTGAGCCGCTTAATACAGTGGGTCGCTATGGCAGTTTTGACTGTATAAGTAAAGTGAAATGTTTATTATGGTATACCAAATTATGTTTAATTATTTACGATATATGATATAAATGAACTTTCGTATATTCGTTTGAACATAATATCTAGCTTTGAAACTTTCCAAAATAAAAACTTCGAATACAAATACAAGTAATCGTTAGAAATACCCTCAAAATCCTAAATAAATGTCCACATTTTTCTTTTACTGTATTTTTCATAGCTGTATATTTTTAAAAAAGATATTTTTAAAGTATATTGTAGAAAATTGGCGTATATTTTTTTTCTTTTCAAAATCAAAGGAGGAAAATGGTGAGATTAAATTAAATCCTTTTATTGCAAAGACGAATATATTGAACTCAATCGGTTGGACGACTTTTAGTTTAAAGATGACTGAGCAGGTTGCCATTCTACGGGTAACATCACGTGTGCAGACTGCATATATAATGTAAGTCGACATTAGTAGTTTACTAAATATTTGTTTGTATTTTTATTCTTAAATGATTACTATTATTACATGTTTATACGTGAAATCTAATCTTTCTGGTCAGGCCACAGAGAGGAATATGGTCTGACATGTTCCCAGTCACGCCATCCAGAACTTACGCTAGCCTTTTTTGTAAAGACTGGATAAAAAAAGAAGGTTCGTCTCCAAAGTTGAGTGTTGCAGAACCTTGTCCGTGTACTCTCCAACAAGCGCTGTTAGACATTGTAAAGTACCAGCCTGATCCTGACTGCAACATGCTCCACGTGGAATCAGAGGGGCGGGGCAACTGTCGTTATAGGCGTGATGCACAGCATTGTGTGAGGCTGACAATACCAAGGTAACGTTTCCTCTAAAATCATTTCTATAAAACTCATGACAAAGCGACAGTTTTTCAAAAGTTCAAAAGTAGAGATATTTTTTTCTTTTTTTTTTTTTTACATTTTCTGTCTCATCTGACATATAAAAATTGTAATTTACACACTTAATAGCCATTCTCTGTAACCACTTAAACTTCGTTGCCACGCATGGTCACCGATTTTGATGAAACTTCACCCATGCTTAGTACTTGACACCAGAAACAAATATCAATGAAAATTTCGTTGCTAAGTGTCTCGGTTGCTATGGTAACAGCCGGAAAAGTTTGAAAAATCAAGATTTTCAGCCACTTTAAATCTTGACTGTATCTTAATAAAAACTAGAAAAAGCAAACAAACCATTCTCACAAAAACATGACACCTTGATGTCACTTATACTGTAAAGAAACTGTTTAAAATATATCTCTAAGTAAGTGGTAACCAAGGATACATTTGAAATACATTTAAAATGCTGAAAAACACTCCGTATTCAATAATGGTAGGTGAAACATGCTCAAACTCAATCAACGACTTAAGAAAAACAATGAAAATGTTTGACCTTAAGTATATAAGTATAAGCAATATTATTCTATAAATAACGTTTATGGTTGCCATGGTAGCACAGTGTAACCATGCAAAACCAGTATCTAAGATTGGGTTAATGCTACTGTCTTGAGGAAAAACATGAAAATTCAAGACTGGCAAATATGCATCCTTAGGACCTTGCAACACCAAAACCATAAGAAAAATTGGGTATAATTGCTACTTTGCAGTGTTACCATGGAAACAAAACACCAGTGCTTAAAAGTGAATTATTTTTCACTGCATTAAGAATTAAATTGCCATATAATCAAGAAACAAATTAAAGGACTCAGCTTGAATAGTACTAATCTGTTAGAACTGAAGTTGAATATCATATATTGATAAAATTTGGTGAAGAAAACAACACTGTTGCTATGGTTACCAAGAAGTGAAAATGTTCGATTTTGTGAACTTTATATCAATATTAAACCCTGTGTGCCAACTTCTTGCATCCACTTAGAGATTGGATGATAGTCAAAATTAAAAGTCGGGTTAGCTGTTAATAAATATCAATCATAAAAGTTTTGGGAATCTACATTTAAGTGTAGGTATCCAAGGAAAGAAAATATTTTTCAGGTTTTTAAGCAAATATTTTCTGCTTATTTCCATAGCAACGCTCCATTTAAAGAATCTAATCTGAATTTTTTCAAATGGGAAAACTAGGAGCACACCAACGTCTTTAAAAATTTATCATTAGTTATGAGGAAATGTGCTTTTCTAAAAGATAGGATCAGATCTAAACGTACAGAGTGTTACTTTGAAGGCTCTCTGTGGTATAAAAACCTTGGCAACCATTGCCAATCAAAATGAAATATCACATTTTGTTCTTGGTATATGTTTCAAGGCTCTTTTTTCTATTATTTGGTCACACTTTATCCTATAATTGCTTTTTAATTTTAAGTGTATGACTTTATAAAATTCAATGAATATTTCTTTTTACTTTTGAATACTTTGTTACCATAGTAACGTATGTAGTAGTTGATTTACCAAACATGTTTATCATGCATTTGAGACATGTGACCTTCAACTTTTGGAAACAGTCATTGCCAATTATTTGCTTTGCCGCAAATGTTAACTATGGGGCTCTAAACATGTTAAAAAATGCCATTTTTCGAAATTTAAGATATGTTGCCATGGTAACTATAAAGCATAGCAACCAATTTTTGCCTGATTTCAGTTTAGGGTATCAATGACTTTTATCGTAGAGAGTTTGGAGAAATTCTGAGACTATGCGTGCCACAGCTCCTATATAAAATTTCAAATCATTACAGAGAATGGCTCTTAATTCCTAACAGTAAGGAATGTCACTCGTCAGATTTTATTAAAAATTTAGAATCTCTAAAAAGAAAATACCAATTACAATTATTATATAATTTTTTCATACATCTAAAAAATGCTAAATTTACGACATTTATTAAAAAAAATTAAATCTTAAAAAATAAGATTTATGAAAGACTATTTCTTGCAATGGGTTGACATAAAGAAGAAATTACCCAAAAAGAAAGATATCAAAGATATCACACAGTAATCAAGCTCAAAAGTCCATTGAAAAATAATTTGGAGCAAAGGGTCTTCAAAAGCATCAGAGGTACATGTAAGATCAGGTACCATGAGTATGGAAGCATCGCCTGTCGACCGGTCACACTTGCCGTGTGCTTCCTGTCATGTTCGGACATACATATAAAATACATGGTTACTGTCTTGAAATATAAGCGATTATAAGAAAACGTGATAGAGGGCGAGGCTTGCCGAGCCTTCTTACGTTTTCGACCCGAGCCCAAATATCGCTTATATTTCAAGACAGTTATCATGTATTTTGTTTATCCTGCAACAAAATTTTACATTTGAACGTCCAAAACAAGCTAATTCCGACAGATTTAAGCACATCTCTGCAGTTGAAACTATGACGCCATGGCGTAAACATTGCAATATACATGACGTCACAATGCTTTTGGAACGTCGGAATACATGCACGAGGCTTTATTAGGGCAGTGACGGGATAAAGCTTTGGTTTATTAGGTTACCTTTATTATGTCAATGCAAGGGGTAGTTGCAGGATAAAAATCAATTCGTAGATAATTCATTGTACAAATAATGGTCTAACAATTTGTTTAAAAACGTCATTCAGCATTTGAGACAATGACAGATTAATACATGTTGACAAAGCCATATAATTGTTCATAAAATTTGCGAAATGTTGACTTAATGAGACTGTTGATTTCCTTGTTTTATCAAAGTCATTTATTAAGGTCAGAATTTTACAAATTCTATGATCATTATATTAGAATGTTAGCAAATATATCCTTGATCATCATTTGGCAGACTTTTTCGTACATATTGTAGGCCTTTGTTTCATCCTTTAATTGACTCCGTCTACATGATCACGATCAGTACATAGGGCTAAAGGCGTTTGTGTTCGATGATGAACAGGAGATGCTTACTTCCCCTAGGCACCTGATCCCACCTCTGAAACTTCCGGTGTCCGTGTTTTATGCCATCTTTACTGATTAGTATTGTTTGTCGTCCACTGTTTGTTATCGTCACCTTTTTCATGTCACGTGACTTTAAACAATATTTCTGAAATCCTCCCGTCTTCTGGCTCTTCCAAACAAGTCAATGATTTAATCCTCTCACAAGACATTGAATACTTTTTTTCCTTTTTCTAAAGTGAAGATGATTTAATCCTCTAACACGACATTTAATGTTTTTCTTCTTTTTAAAGTGAAGATGGTACCGATAATGTTTGCTGTTTCAATGAACATGGAATCTTAATAGACTCAAGATCCCACGAAGGTGGTACACAACAGCGGTATCACTACCGAGGTGACGACCATGGGAATATACCATACGTGACAAACTTTTGCAAGGACGTTGTCCCGTTTCTGCATTGCTGTCGTTTTTCACAGACGTCCGCGAATGAAATTAGCAACGAGAAAGAAACATACAGTCTCTGTCAGGACTTCCTGGCATTACGGAGATACAGTTCCTGTGAAAATTACGACCCTCCTAGACCAGGTCAGAATTATTTAGTATCAGATTCGTTATTCTGTGTACTGTAAAAATACGTTTTCAGAAACCATAAAACGTGTTTTGAATAAGAGAATTGCCAATTAATCCAAAGTTTAAAAAAAACTGGAGATAACACATTCTTTAAAGGTAAAGCCTCAAACCAGGCTTTCAAATCAGGAGGCACAAGTGCATATAGGCAAACATTTTGAGTATTTCTCTTTTATTGCACAATACATGTACATAGCACATTCTGTTTTAAATCGTTGGTTCATATGTGTAAACGTGTCTGCATGAAGTTCCTTTTTGTTTCAGCTAGAACTAGTGGTGACCCTCATATCACTACACTAGACGGGCTTAGTTATACGTTTAATGGAGCCGGAGAGTTCGTGTACATATACACAGAGGATGATCTATTTAAAAGCCAAATCCGTTTCGAACAGTTCCGAAAAGACGATGGTAAGGTTCAAAAATTCAGTTTTTAATAAATCTTGCTTTATTTTCATGAAATAAAGAAAATATTTTAAAAAGAACTTATTTGCATGATCTTCTAACTAGGGTCGCTTGTAAAGGCAACAGTAGCGACAGCCTTAGCGATGGAGTATGCTAATAGCTCTGATTGCATAGAAATTAGACTCAACTCAATAAGAACAGCTGATGTCCTCAGAAATGGAGAACTGCTTGATTTCCAAGACTCCAGATGGATAAACGTGAAAGGTGTTGTATATGTTTGTATATATATTTGATAGAACAAATTTTGATTGATTTGATTGTTGATGTCTGTTCTATAATTTTGAGGATTATTTTAGGTGTAACCATTATATTACTCCCCACTAAAGGGAATAACACGGACAAGTCATTTATGATCGTGTTTCAAGAGATCAAAATTGCATTCAGCATTGAAGCCTCGAAAGATATCTTAAACGTCATGCCAGTTGTTCAGGGAAAGGATCTTAATGGTACTAATTTTTTAATTAAAATTGTTCACAAAAATAATATTTGCTGCATGAAGCTGAAAAATTAAAATGCTAATACATGTAAACAACTACGGAAGAACCATTTTTTAAAAATATTGGCCAAATCGAACACCTATATGTTATCCTATTATGATAATAATTTTTTTGTATAGGAGTGAAAATCTGAGACATGTTTTAATTTAAAGGAACACTGAAAGGATTACTGGGAAATTATGATGGCAGTCCTTCTAATGACCTACTTTTTTCAACACATCAACAATTGCTGCAAAATGAAACTGACGATTCGTTGATTTTTAAATTTGGGATGTCATGTATGCTTTGTTCATTTTTTGATACCCTTTATTAAGTGAAATAAATTTGAAACTACATATTTAATTTTCAATGAACTAATAGTATGTAAATGGCTTAATGATATGTTGAGGTGTACTGGTCTTTCTGATTGTAGGGGCCATCAATGAGTCCGAGTCCCTGTTCACATATGAACCTGGTAAGAGTTTTGTTGACTATCGTCAGCCATCATTCCTTCCTGTGTTTGAGTCCTCCGTGTCGGTTACAGAGGAAGTGATGGCGGTGTGTGGAGAAGATAAAGATTGTATCTTTGATTTCTCTGTCACGGGATCACGTGACGTAGCGGAGCAATCCCGAGCATTCCAGAAACAGTTTCAGGAATCTCAACAGGCAGCTGTAATAGGTATATATTTATGGGATGTAATTAATGCACATGGATCTTCTGTAAGCTAGGATAGTCATTGTAATTTTTTTACCCCATCTCAAAATACGTGTACATTTTCATTACAGTGTTGACATGCGATGATTTGCCAACAATTCCTGGTGGAGTCTGGGAAACAACCAATGGGAATCTCGAAAACTCGTCTGCATTTTTTGTTTGTAGAGATGGATATACGATCTCAGATAGCATAAGTAATGTTACATGCTTGAATGGGCGTTGGAAACGATATGAGAACGTTTCTTGTCAACTGAACAGTCTTCAAACCACTTCGCCTGGTCTCCAGCCTGGCACAGATATCCTAATGTCTCAGAATGCTAATTTACCTGCCTACATAGGAGTCGGGGTTGGAATTTTCCTACTCACCACATTTATCATAGTTTTTATCCTATATCAAAGGAATAAAGCAAGGTGTGTATTGTTTATCTCCTACTAAGTGAAAAAAAAATCCAAAATCAAAATTTGTACGAGAAAGCTCTTTTCTTATAAATAGCTTATGCATACATAATGTTATAGTACCTGTGGAGTTGCAGCTCATATAACTTGTTTTCGATCTTTTAGGCGCGGTCAGTGGAAAATCTTTTCTAATGAAAATCCCGTGGCTTTCACCAAAAGTGACGATACGGTGCAAAACAGTGCTGTAGTAACTCAGCTACCAATGGAACAGAACAAAGAGAAATATTAACATTTATTGTTAATTTCTTTTGAATTGACTAGCCTGATTTATACTTGTGTATGCAAAAATATCACTTGAAATATCACTTGCTACCATTGAAAATTATTCATGTGCATGTGAGGCATCTGCATTATGTTTAGCTGTTTTACAGTGTACCTTAGCATGCTCTGGTCTTGATCTGTGATCGTGTATTTGATCTCGATGTACTACGGATATCTGTATGACTTAACAGACTTGTAGGGAAACTGAGAATTCAATTGAACCTATTTTTAATCAGTTACTAGTATACCTATCTTTAATTCTTCGTCTTCAGTTCAAGCTAAATGTGCCCGATGATCTTCAAATCAATTGTACCTATCTCTAAAACATTAAAGATAGATATAATTCAATTAAACCTATCTTAAATTTATTTGGATATAGATTCAATTCGTTTGAAGATACATATAGATACAATTATTTGAAGATCGGAACAAATCAAAAAATTGTTCTTCAAATGATTAAAACTATCTTCAAATAAATTGAAGATAGTTACAATGGAATTAAATATAGGTCTTAATGAAATGAAAATAGGATAAATAATTACACCTATCTTTAAATAATTGAACATAGGCTCAGTTGAATTACGCCTATCTTTAATTCCATTACAGATAGATTCAATTGAATTTACATATCTTTTTATTCATTTGAAGATAGATATAATAATTGATTTAAAGATTGAATTCAATTAAAACTATCTTCAATTCATATGGAGATAAATAGAATTGATTTAAAGATAGGTACATTTATTTGAAAATAGATGAAATATTTGAATATACTGAGAAATCACTAATCTTTGTGGGGGTTTAACTTTCGTGGGTTTCAAGGTATGAAGAGACCCACGAATTTATGTTCACCAAGAAATGAAATTTGTCAAATTTATTACTACTGAACAATCCTTCAACCATGAAATCAAATCCCCATGAACCAATACATTTTCTTCAAACCACGAAAATTTGACCCCTCGAAAATATGTGATTTTACAGCATGCCAATTTGGCATTCTAAAGAATACAACATATGTCGACTATGCTAGATACAGAGGGATTGCTGATATAATGATATAACATGTGATTGTTTTAAATATATCATAATGAAATCAAAAGCTTTAATTTTCATCAAGATTAAGCATTATCTGATAATGATTAACATGATTAATTCTTGAAGTAAAGTATGACAAGTGCAAGTTTTACCTGGTAGCAAAATGTAGTACCTCGGCTAGTTTTCATCCGAGATATAACTTTCCTACCGTATATTTTCTACACAAGCCCCTGTTAGTGCGATATCTGCAATGAACCAGTGCACGCATCCATTAATGACGCGACGGTATCACATTACCCGCACTCCGTGTGACCAAACTCACTTATATATAAACCACTTATATATAAACCATGAAATGCAAATGTTCTTTCAATATTAAATCAAACAAATATAGTTATTGTTGACAGCAAAAATACCTTTGACCTCTTTCTCTCTCAATACCTGAGGCGACTGTGACTGGCCTGGTTTTCCCGCGAAATCGGATTACCATTGAACTTAAAATGTCGAACCCGATGTTTTGAAACATTTCAAGGGATAATTAGAACGAACAATATTGTTTTTACCAGTTACCAATTAAAGGGCTCTCAAAGGACAATAACAAAATAATGACTATTATGTATAATCATATAATACATATTGTTATAAACAATGTATTATTTTAATTTCCCGAAAACATTTTTTGGCATTAGGCCCTAGGCACAAAAAGTGGGGGCCAACCAGTTTTTCAATGAACATTTTCAACAGTTTAATGAATTGGGGAAGGGGGCAGACCTCCTACTTCCCCGATAACTTTCACAGGCAGTATCATACGAAATTAATTGACATATCAGAAGGTTTCTGTCCCTTCTAATATACTGTAGAATATTCTGCAGCTTTTATAAAGCAATGCAATCACCAATTTCTATTTATCATCTGCATAATAATAGTCATATAGTGAGTGATTTACACATGATTTTATGTAAAAGTTAACTTTCACCTAGACTGACTAGAAGTATAAACTTTGCCATTAGAATTAAAAATACTCATTTGCAAATATTGCTTATCAACCCCCGCCCCACACAAATTCTACATTGTAGTTCATATGCTCCAAAATATATATGGAAGCAATATTTATGTATACCTAAAATGTGCACATGCCATGGTGAGTGAAAGGTTGATTTAATTGGGGCTATATAATTTCAATAAAAGCTTATTAAGTTGAGCGACTTGAAATTTTATTGCATGCAAATTGACCTTTTAAAAGGTAATCGATCACTGTAAGGAAGTTTTTGACAGTAGGTGACGTTAATGTACCTGTGTTATATAAAATTTGTTTACTTTTTATTGGACAAGTAAGTAAGTGAAAAAAAATGTATTCTAAGTGTTAAGAACAGATGCTAAAAAAATATGTAATAGATATTTGTAATATAGCTTGAATAGATAGGCTTTATAGATGCTAAAACACATATTTATTATGATTTTTTTTTCTCTTACACCCGACTGATTTTTTCCAATATCCTCAATTTTTTTATTGAATTTCAATAAAAAATAAAAATATAAACAAAACAGAATTCTTTAATGTAAAATAAATTTAATGTAATTTTATCACGTTTTACAATTTAACAACTTCAGGCCTAGGAAAATATATTTTTGTTTCCGCATTCCCGACTGACCCTAATTAATAGTGCCGAAGTCGACCCTAACTATTTTTTAATGCTTTTGTCCCATGATGTGCAAGAGCGACTTGGGTTTTCACCAGAGAAATCATAGTCAAGCTTTTCAAGACAGGAAGAAGTTTCGGTCGCCTTTCTTCCTTCTTTTACCGACATAAAATCATCTTCTTTAGAGAGGAGAGTGTAATAAATAGCCCCCAATAAAGCTGTTTCACAACAACAGTTCTGAAAATCTCGGCAGAAATTATCATGGGATCGTATCTAAATTAGTCATGCAACACATCTGATAAATGACCAGCTATGTTTTGTAATTTGGTTTTAATTTACTCTCGTGCCATTTAAGACACTTAAATAATATACTGATCATAAACATCATTAAGTTATTATGAATAAAAGCTACTGAAACTGTATAAACATGCATTATGGATATAAATAGACGGGTTAGACTTATACCCCTAAAGGCACGAAATGTAGATTTGAAGAAGAGTTTAATTACAAAATTTAAGTTAATTTCATATTAAAACATATTATACAAAACATGTATTTTTTCATTAATTCATAATCATCTCCCCTTGGAAGAAGGCTTGGTCCTTCATTTGAAGAAACTTGAATTCCCTTTACCCAAGGATACTTTGTGGCAAGTTTGGTTGAAATTGGCTCAGTGGTTCTTCAGAAGAAGATGAAAATGTGAAAAGTTTACGATGCCAACGACAACAACAATGACAACGACGACGAAGACAACGGACAAATTTTGATCAGAAAAGCTCACTTCGGCTCAGGTGAGCTAAAAAAAATTACCTACCTACCTACCTTAATTTTTTCAGCCTGAAAGCGGAAACAATTTTTTTTTCTAGGCCTAATTTGAAATTAAAAACAGGAGTGGTAGTTCGCACGGTGGATATAGACGTGAATAGCTCAGTAGGTGTAGGTAGAGCGCCTGACTAGCGGTGTAAATACATGTATTAGGGTCCAGGGTCAAGATTTTCTGGGCCAGCCTCATTTTCTATTTCAAAATTTAGTGCACTTGACCACCTCCTGGACTACAGGTGAAAGTCCTCCTAGGACAAATCAGAACGTGGGTTTTGTCTTCGAGGGCGAATACAATTCAAGGAGGGAGGAATGTAATGGTTTGGCTTGTGGCAATCGGTTCTGAATGATTCGGTTGGTAGAGGACCTGGCTGTCGATGCAGAAGTCCGGGATTCGATTCCCAGTCCAAAATTACATTTTCTCCTTTCCTTTGCTGATACGCAAAGAAAAACAAGAAACTTTGAGAAAAACATGTTTCGTATTGGAATATACATGTTCATGTATATAATTCAAAATCATGTATTAAAACAATTTTTTACAATAAATATTTAGTGCTTGGTTATCATCCCCCTGCCCTGGACCAGTTTGTCTATTTTTTAAAAAATAATTTTCTTGGCCACGTCCCCTGTTTGTTCAGAAAAAGACCCTCAAAATCTCAAATAATTAAACCATTCAATGACAATTATACTCTTGATAACAGTAGAAGATCAAACTTGCATTCCATTGTTTTTGTTGCCCTCTGGGCAGTTAAAGCCTTCTTACATTTCCAAGAATGGTCAACAGCCGACAGATTTTGAGGCAAAAACGGGATTCTTTGGGCGACAGTCGGCAGGTCATCGGCCTTTGTTTTGCCTTTTGCCTAAGTCACATTTAAGCAAAAGGCAAGGGAAACCAAATTTTTTCTCGTATAGTTGGCTGAAAAAACATGATCGTCCGACACCAGTATCGGGCGACGCAGAGTAGTCACATTAATTCCTAGGAACACCGATGCCTTTAAAAGTTGAAATATTTATAGGTCGGACAACCGTCACCAAATCATCGTTCGCTGGGATGCAGTTTGATTTCCAACGTCGGCCGATATTTACAAAAAACCAATTCCTAAATGTCAGACCGACCGATCGACGACCGACTTTAAAAACTGTCTGCCGATGGTCGGACGATTGATCGAAGGTTGGTCGACGGACTGATTTAATTGAAGGAATCGGCCGCCGACGCAGAAAAAAAATATAACTTGGACCGCCTCACACAAAATTGGTCGGCCGACGAAAAAAGCGGCCAAAATCGGGCAAGACAACGGCAGATGAATCCTATTTTTGCCCAAAAAATCGTCGGCCGTCGATCGTTTTTGGAAATGTGACTGGGGTTTATGACCTCTTTTTTCGTCGGCCGACCAATTTTTTGTCCATTGTGCCCAGTTCTAATTCTTTTCCTGTGTCGATGGACAATTTCGTCGATTGAAGCAGTTAATGCCTAGGTCACATTTAAGCCGATGGTCAGGCGACTAAATTTTTCTCGTATCGTCGGCTGAAAACCATGATCGCCCGACAGTAGTATCGGGCGACAAGGAGCAGTCACATTAACTCCTAAAAACACCGATAATTTTCAACAATTAAATAATTCTAAGTCGGCCAACAATCGCCTGTTCATCGTTCGCTAAGTCGCTGTTTGATTTTCACCGTCGACCGATATTAATTAAAACCCAATTTCTAAATGTCGACCGAACGACGACCTACTTAAAAAACCTCTCTGCCGATGGTCGGACGTTGATCGAAGGTTGGTTGAAAGACTATTTAACGACCGCTTTAATTGGAG